ATATATATAAAATCTTCTTGATAATTTCTGAGTGAAGAGATTTAAGGCTGTGGCTTTTTTTCACCCCTAGGGCTCTGCTCATGGCTGTCAGACTAGAGGCAGATGATTTTATGCAGACCATATCAGTAATCACTTGTGCTCCAAAGTTGAGGGAATTTGCTGCTCTGAGATGGACAAGTTCCTGGTTATTTCGAAATTACATCTGGCCTCAAGAAGTCATAATGATGAATCTGAAGTGAGAAAAATGAGCTGACATGCCTCCAAATAAAGATTTCCTTCCAATCTGAAGGAGCTGTCAGAAGAAAACAAAAGACAAAAGATCAGTTTAAATAGTAAGTACAGTTTAACAAAAACACATAAAATGTATTAAGGATGAGGCAATCATTTGTTAATGCCTAATTTAAAATTACTTGAATTATCAAGAATTTCATTTTAAATGTCTAAACATATTGAAACATATATTCCCCTTAAATTTCATATATAAAAATAATGTGACAAGTCAGTCATCAAAATTTAGTAGTAGCATGCTTATATTTCAATTAAAAGATCTGTCTCTTTCATTAATCTCTTCCCATCTGCCCCATCCCAGAGATGTCAGTTTGTTCCATGCATTGATGCCTCTGTTTTATTCATCAGTTTATGTTCATTAAATTCTACATGTGAGATCATGTGATATTTGTCTTTCTCTGACTGGCTTATTTCCCTCGCATAAAATTCTCCAGGTTTATCCATGTTGTCTCAAAGGGTAAGAAATCCTTCTTTAACCGATGGACACAGACAGTAGTGTGGTGAAGGCCTTGGGTGGGGCAAGGGCAGGGAGGAGGAAGCTAAGCGAGAGGGAGGGAATTGGAGGACATCTGTAATACTGTTAACAATAAAATTAGTAACTAAATAAGAATTAATGTTCAAAATCTATCTCTGACATTTTTTAAAACTTCAGGTAAATTTGTCCACCTGTAAATGTACTAAGTTCTCAAAGACTATTTATATAGAGCCTGAAAATATAAGAATATCTTGAGATATTTATATCTTGATATATTCTTTGATGCACATATATATCACTATTAAAATAGTTAACAAATCATTTTTAAGGTAGAGAGACTTCATTTAAAACAGCAAAAAAGCATTTAAAAACCACATTGCATAATGTTCTCTTTCACTGCGTTCTATATAGTCTAAATGTATTATCAAACTGCCAAAAAGATATTCTTTTCCTTGATGCAGCAGAGCTGCCAAAGAAGTAGTCTGCCTTCATGAATACCTGCAATAATTAGCACCTTAAAATAAATTCTGTACATATTCCTATCCATATCCTAATTAATACATTTTTTTGGAAGATAAAAAGAAATAAAACCTAACCATAATCCTCACTCTGCCCACCCAACATCAAATATGCTTAGCACCACTTAATGTGCAGCGTGTCTATGGTCTTCTCTTTAAGTTATGATGTAAAAGATAATATGTATGCAATGACTTACTCAAATAGGTCCAGAAAGTTATTAAAATGAACCTGGTACAATAATTAATTGATTAGTAAATTATTAGAAAAGTCAGAGACAGCAGTTGTGGCATTAAGTGCATTTTTAATCCCTTAAAGCCCATCTGAGAACCCCTGCTTTAACACTTTCATGTGGAGGTATGTAAATTCCAAATGCATTGTGTGCTTTCCTCAATAAAGAGACACAAACATACACATAGATGGCACAATAAAAACAGACTGTGCAGCTACTGGACAAATTGTATATTACCAGATCATCACTAGCATATGTCAAGTTGCACATTCAGTCTTTTATGAAATTCATAAATAAAGAATTGTTCTCCCTTTGTGGTTTTAATAAGACTTCAAGAATTGTTCAGAGTCTTGTAAATGTTATTTTAATAATCCCTTTAAATTTTATCTGTTGCTGTTACCTCTTGAAATATGATTTAATTAGATTGCTAATCCAACTCATTCAGGAAATGCCAAGAGATATTCTGTGGGGAAATGTTGCTTCTTACAGTGTAAATTTTCTCCTTTACTTTTGCTAATATCATGGCAGAATTTTTCTTATCCCTTTTGAGGCAGTTGTTGACTGAGTTTTTCATCCTAACAATCCTGTCCTATAGTATTTAACTTAAAAAAGTAAAACTGTTAACAGATTCTTGTTTGATTTTTTTTTAAAAAAAAAAGGAATTTTGTACATTTTTACATCTATTTAAGATAAGACTAAAATTATTTATAAATATTTTCCTGTTCCAGTAATTTTTTTAGGTATCTCGTAAAAGCAGTTATTTGCCTCACAGCCTTCAGTGACCAAACATTAAAAGCAGAGAATAAAATCTACTAACCAGGAGATGTCTATATTGGCAGTTTGAATTCCAACATTGGGCGTTAATGAAATACATTTAAGTTTTACTTAGTTTTGAAATTTTTTTACAGATATCCAGGCCTCTCCCTGCATGGTATCACATATCCCATTCACCATAACCTCAGGCTAAATATTTGTTCCCTACTAAAGAAAAGCCCCAAGTAATTTTTCATGTATAATTTGCTAACTTAAAAATTCATGAACTTCCATTATTATATATTGTTTATATTTTTCCCTCAAATATGGAGAAATGTAATACCCCATCATCCCTATACAAGTTAAATAAATGTACTCAGCATTGCAATAATGAAACATAAATCACCAAGATTCTGCATTAGCAACAATGAGTTGAAGTGTTTCGGGAATGCTCTCTGACTTATTCTTTAGATGGGTAGTTAATTACTTCATTCTATTTCAAAGGCCTTTGTTTAAAACTCATTAAAGTTTTCTTCACTTTTTGAATGGAATAGGTCAAAGTTTTTAAGCACTGCAAGGATCATTCTTTAATTTTGGTAAATTTTTCCAGACACAAATGTGATATACAAAATATGAATGATACCAGGTAATTTTTAGGCTTTGACTCATTAAATGTCAAGTCAGTTAATTTAGGTAAGTAGCATCTTTTTTTTTTCCAAACTTGTCTTCCTCACCTTAAGAAGGAAGGTGTTATTGGAGCCTTTTATTGCAGTTATATAGTCAAAAACACAGGAGGCCCAACCTATGGATTAAAAACTCGAGTTTTCACAGCACAGGTGAGAGTGAAGTCCTGTGATTCTCCCACAATTCAGATTCCAGCATCGGGTGTAGACACTAAGTTGCACCCCTGAAAGGCATGGCCTTTGGACCTTCTTAATGAAGGGTCCTTTGACCAAGTCCATGGGCTGAGGCTGCCTCTCCACTGCCTCCCATTAGCAAAGTGAACCAGGTATGTGCACGATGCACTAGGAAGCCCAAGGTCTCTTCTGTGTGGCTCTCAGTTCGGTCCTCTCTCCAGTTCTGTCCTCAGGTTTAGGGGATACTTTTTTCATGTAAGCAGTCTAGCTCTGGGCTGAGTGGCTGCTTGGGCACCAGGCTGAAGACATCACAGGGCCCTAGAGGCGCAGTGGGGTAGTAGACCCTGAGACAGCCTGGCAGTGAGCAATGGCAGGGCAGAGCCTGCAGAGAAGGTGCCCGGGGAGGAAGGCAGTGGTGGTGGTGGCTGCATGCAGTCCAGGTAAGTGGAGAGGTCGCAGTGCTTGAAGCTGCCACCCTCCAACATGTCCTTGGTTTTGGGGTACAGCACCCAGTAGCTGTCCTTGTCTGTGAGGTTGTGGCCGATGCTGTTGCAGAAAGTCATGCCACATGACAAAAGAACCAATTACCATTCGCCATGCAGTGTGTGACATTTAATGAGTCAAAGCCTCCCTGCTAATCATTCACGAACATTATTTACGAGTGGTGACTCTTGGAATTAAATATGTAGACTATAGTTGTAAATATGTAATATTTATTTATGTCGATGAAATTACTACAGTGTGTTTTTTTGCCCAACATATGGCTATTCACTAAAATTTGTTAAAAATAACAGTGAATTAATAATAATAATAATAATAATAATAAACCCTGTTAATTTAATTATAAGCAAATCTTGGTTAAAATTCTCTTAAAATTAACAGGGTGTTAATTTTCACATGTGACCCATGGACCAGAAATTGTGCCTGTTAAGTCTGAAGTCCATTAAATTGAGGTCCGTAAAATCGAGGGTTTACTGTAGCATCTTAAGTGATTAAGAACATTTCTTCACAGATAGGGCAGCATGATTTTAAAATGTCAAGACAGCAAGCAACGCTAAGGAAAAGCTAAAAATTTTACTAAAAGTTTGTCCAAACATAAGAATTTCACAATTCTATATTTATTTGGAACTTAGTGTAATTTTTATAATTCTCTTCATTATAATCTATATTTACTAAGTAAAATTTATAAAGTTTTACATATGAATTATATAGCACTAAAATATATTTTTAAAAACAGACAAATACTTATATACTAGTGACCCAGGACAAGGATTTGTGCACATTGAAAGGAAATTACTTAGAAGGTGACCAGAGGGATGGGACTGGGCAAGACAGGCCGGACACGCCCTGGAGCCAACCTCCAGCAGTCCCTCCCTGGCTGGCTGCACCTGGGGTGGCACCTTGGCTCCAAAGGCATCTGCAGAGTGAGTGGGGTCCCTCCGGCAGGTGGGGTCCGTCGGCCTGGACTGCAGGGATCAGCCTGAAACCGGCTCTCCGACATCCCCCCGAGGGGTCCCAGAAGGTGGAGAAGGCACTCTGCAAAGTTGCTGTCACACGGGTGTGGAACGCAAACACAAGTGTGCAGTAAACCAGATTTGGGCCCACAGTGCCCCAGCAACAACATAACCCATGGCCAAAGGTGGAATCACACGGCCCCATGAGGAATCAAACTCCCTCCTCTCGGGTGTCAGGGTGCATCACCAGAGAACTGCTGCTGCAAGTCACTGCAGCTCGGCAACCCCTGTGTTGAGCATCTTCCCTCTGGTGGTCAGTGTGCGTCAGCGACCGGTCGGACAGAGAAAGGGACACTTAGCCTACTAGCCTTTTATATATATATATGTATGTGTATATATATTATATATGTATGTATGTATTATATATGT